GAATGTGTTTGGTGCATTCAAAAAAATTAAGAACTGCTTTTTGAAAGACACTGTTTGAAGAATGACAAAACAAGCCACATGCTGGGAGAAAATATTTGCAAACCAAATTTCTGATAAAATACTTGCATCCAGAATATATAAATTACTCTCAAACCTCAATAATAAGAAAACAAACAATCTAATTTTAAAAATGGGTGACATATTTGAACAAACACTTCAAAAAAGCGGGCACAGCTACATAAATAAGTAAATGAATGGATGTAAAACAATTACTGAGATACCACTGCATACCTATGAGAATGTTTAGTCAAAACATTTCACTCAGGCTTGAGAGGATGATAATGAAGCTCTGCCTAAGTCCTGCCACCCAGAGTTCTCTGATGAACTTCAGGAATGAACTCCAGGTGTATAGGAATGAAAAGCTCTGGATCTTTTCTCCAAATGAATGGGAGGAGCAGTGCAATGGTCGTCTGAGGGCATGCCCTCGGGCAGGTGGCCAGGAATATAGGGAGGAAGGGAAGGAGGAAAGGAAGAAACTATTAATAATTTAATTCAATGTAGACAGGAGTTTGGGGCCATGGCCCATGAGAAAATGACTTCTCCACCTCACACAGGAACCTAGAGGAGGCCCTAGGACATTCTCAAGGTTTGAAATTTGGTTTGAGATAATCTTATCTAGGTCATAAGGGACAGGACCTCCCCAACTGTCTTAGTTTATTTTCTGCTGCTATAACAGAATACCACAGATTGGGTAATTTATAGAGAAAGGAAATATATTTGGTTCATGGTCCCAGAGCCTGAGAAGTCCAAGAGCAAGTTGCCAGCATTTGGGCACAGCCTTTGTGCTGCATCATCCCATGGCAGAAGATGAAAGGGCAAGAATAGGTGTGAGGGAGGGAGCAAGAGAGGATCAAACCAGCGTTTACAGCAAACCCACTCTCACAATAATGGTCTGCGCCAGCACCTTCATCACTGCAAGGCTATGAGGTCAGACCCATAATACGCATTCTCTTTGGCAGGTGACAGAAGTCAGAATAGTGCTTGTTCTTGGAGGATGCTGACTAACAGGGGGCCCAGGGACCCTCTGGGGAGCTGGAGGTGGCCCATATTTTGATCGCAGTAGTGGTATCATGGATGTATACACATACAAATTGAATCACACTGCACTGATAAGATATGTGTATTTTACTATGTATAGTTTATACCTCAACTGAAATAATTCATATCCTCTAAAGGCTTCCCATTTCTTAGAGAATAAAGTCTGGACTCTCCTGGGCCTTCCAGGTGCTGTAACAGCTGGCCTGCCTTCATCCGCTTTGTCCCCTGTCCTCTTGCTCTCTGCCCTTCAGTGTTCTCCATCAGTTCCTAAAACTGGCCACACTCTCAGCTCTAGGATTTTGCCCTTGCTGGTTCCCTTGCCTAGAAAGTTCTTCTCCAGTTACCCTCCCTCTCCATAATCCCAGGCTGAGAACTAGGCCTTACTGTTTAGCAATGGAAAGACCCAGTTCCCTGGAGAACCTCCCTGCAGGACTTCACATTCTCACCCTCTCCACCCTGGTATTGCCCTCTTCCCTCCTCCCAGAATCTTCCATGACTGTATTTCTTTTCTTTCAGGTCCTCCACTCTCCCTTAGATACCTTAATCCTCTTAGTCCATTTTCTGCTGCTATAACAGAATGGCTAAGACTGAATAATTTACAAAGAGAATAGGTTTGTTTTGGTTCACAGTTCTAGAGGCTGGGAAGTCCAAGATGGGGCAGCCTCACCTGGTCTGCTTCACTGAGAGCCTTGTGCTGCCTCCTAACATGATGGAGAATCAGAAGGGCAAGTGAGTACATGCAAAAGAGAGGGGACAGAAGAGTCCAACCCACTTTATAACAACCCACTTTCATCAGAACTACTCCATTCCCTCAAGAGCTACCGAAGTCTGAAGAGAAAGATATTAATCCACCTTAATGAGCTAATCACTTTTTACAGGCCCCATCTCCCAACACAAATCGCCAATTTATATTGGCAATTAAATTTCAGCATGAACTTTGAAAGGCACATGCCATATCTAAGTCATAGCACCTCTCAAGCCAAGAGACCTGCCTGCCCTTAACACCCTGACACAAAGTGCCCTGGGTAAGGCCCTGTGGGGAAAAGCAGACCAAGAACCAGGCAGTGGCAGAGTCTCAGTGTGACTTGTAGAAATCATCAGACTCACATTTCAATGAACTTTAATTGATGTAACATACATGTAACATAAAATTTACTATTTTCATCAGTTTTAAGTGTACAGTTCAGTGGTATTAAGTATATTCATGTTGTCATGCAACCATCATCACTATCCTTCTGCAGAACTCTTTCCATCTTGCAAAACTGAAACTCTATACCACTAAATAATAACTCCTCATTCCCCTGTCCTCCCAGCCCCTGGCAATTACCATTCTATTTTCTTCTCTTTGATGTTCATGACTCTAGGTATCTCATACCAGTGGAGTCATACAGTGTTTGTCCTTTTGTGACTGGCTTATTGCACTTAGCATAATGTCCTCAAGGCCCATCCATGGTGTAGCATGCGTCAGAATCTCTTTCCTTTTCAAGGCTGAATTATATAGATAGACCACATTTTGTTTATCCATTCATTCATTGACTGACACTTGGGTTGCTTTCATCTCTAGGCTTTTGTGAATAAAGCTGCCCTGAACATGGTTGTACAAATATCTCTTTGAGTTCCTGCTTTCAGTTATCTGGGGTATATATCCAGAAGTGGGCTTGCTGAAGACTCTGGCAATTTTCTGTTTAGTTTTTTGAGGAGCAGCCAATACCATTTCCTACGGCAGCTGCACCTTTTTACTTTCTCACCGACAAGTCTACAGCGCACAGAGCAGAGAGCTTCAGACAAGGGTCCGGGTCTTTGAATAACAGAGCTCTGAGAAGGAACTTTCCTGAGGGCTGCCTCTTGCCTCCGTAAGACCACAGCTAACCCCTGGGAATGGATCACGGCGGCTGAGCAGTGCTAGCCACACTGCCAAGGTCAGAATTCTGGGCGGCCCAGCACTCTGTCTTGACAATTTCTCCCTACTGCGCTGATTAGTCTAAAAACACATTGGTCTGTTTTGTTTGCCTGGTCCCCTCCCTGCAAGGCGTGTGGCAGAGCGCCCTTCTTTTGGGCTGGACTCATTAGTGACACTGTTTACCTATGACTCACCTCCAAGGTAATGCTAAGGCGCTTGTTTGCTGGAACTCTTAGCTGTGCCTGTGTCTCCCTTGGATCTCAGAAACTTTTTCTTTTGACAGTATTTATGGAGATATTGTTTATGCGAACTGCACAGACCCTAGTTTGCTGCATGCTTTTGTACGTATGTAAGCACCCGTGCGACCACCACTCAGATCAAGATCGAGAATATTTCCAGCACCCAGAAGGCTCCATCGTGCCTCTCTCAGTCCGTGACCTTCAAGGGGAATCTCTACTCTGACCTGTGGTTGGACTTGATATGAAAGGAACTATCACAGCCTGTGCTTGTTCCTACCTGGCTTCTTCCACTCCGTTGTGAGGTTCATCAATGTTTCCCTTGTTCTAGCTCCTTTACATTGCTGAGGGCTGTTCTGTTCAATCCACTTCTCCTTTCTCCTGTCGGTGAACACTTGCATTGTTTCCAGTTTGGGGCTATGACAAGAAAAAAGCTGTTATAAACACATGAATGTGTTTTTCTTTTTCTTGGGTAAATAAATATTAGGAGTGGAATGGCCAGGAGATAGGAGAAGTAGGTATTTGACCATCTTACAATTCAGCAAGCAGTTGCACTAAGTTGTAGTTTACACTCCAACGTGCAATAAATGAGAGTTCCGGTTGTTCCTTATTCCAATGAACTGGCAATTTCCAGTGAGTGACTTGCCATGACAAAATTGTCCACGGTGTCAGAGAGGAGTGTGAAGAATTTCCCTTTTTTTCCCCTCTTTTCTGCTGCAACTGTTGCTGGTCGATCCAGGAACATGATGGGGGATGGAGCGTGCAAAGGGGATGCAGAGCCTCAGTCTATGGGATCATCTCAAAGACTCTCATGTGCAAATCCTGGTGCATCTAGGCGGAGGCAAGCAAGAAAAGACATGCAAACATGTGTATGGCTCCGGGGTGCCCACTCGTGCCAGTATGGCCCTCACCCGTTCATCCTAAGGGTGATCACTGGGCCTTCTGCCTAGCACATTGCAGGTGCCTGCTTGACTTCAGGCAAGTCTATTGTCGTGGCTCCCCTCCCCTCTCTCCTGCCCGTCCTGCTGTTCTCTGATTCAGCCAATTATTTCCCCTAAATAGGTTGCAAAGCCGATTAAAGACGTATGACATAAAAATGTCATATGTTCCCTCCCACTCCCTTGTCACTTGGAATGCTCTTTAGGTCCAAGACATCCCCTTTCCTCACACTAAAGCCCAGGAAAAAGGGATAGAGAAGACAGGGAGAAGAGAGGACAGAGATCAATTCACAGAAAGGGGTATGAGAAGCTTCTGGGCACCACTATACTCTGGAATAAAAATCCTCATTATGGCCTGTCTCTTGCAAAATATTCTTTTCTACAGAATTATGTTTTCACATGAGGAATAGAAATTTAAAGAGGAGAAATGCTTTGGAAGAGCCTAAGTATCTTCATATAGCTCAGGCTGCCAAGAATTAGCTGTGTGACCTTGGGCATGTCCCTTGGACTGTGAGCCTCAGTTTCTCTGTGTGTAAAATGGGTTGAAGCAAGCCTTGCCCACCACCAGCCTGTGCACAGGCAATGCCCAGCCCCATTGTTTTTGGGACACTGTGACAGAGCATGGCCTCATGCTTCTGGGTCCTGTTGTCTAGAGACTCGCTGTCATGTATCTTGAACCCACATGAACCACATGTGATTCCATCTCAAGGGCGGAGCACAAGAGGAGAGAAGAGGAAAAGGTCACCGGGACTGGGAGTGTCCGCCTTCCTCCTGCCCAGTTCCACCCTCGGCCCCCCCCCAGCACCCTGCCCCTTCTGTCTCCCCAGAACCACTTCCGCATGCTCCTGACACCTCCCCGTTTGAATAATTGCCAGCTTGCTTGGTGTATATAACCTTGTCAAGCCACACCCTGTGCAGAGGACCACCTGGCTGGTGAGAAAGGCAGCAGAGCACAGATGGCCGGCAGCGGGGCCCAAGCTCCTTACCTGAGCCCGGTGAGTCCCAGGGCTGGGGGCGTGGGGCTGAGCTGGCTGCCACAGCCAGGGGGAAGCAGCCCTGGGTCTCTAAAAGGAGACACCTGGTGGGTGGCAGGGGGTGGTGAGGGCATCCCAAAGAAGGGAAGAAAGGCCACATGGGGTGATCCTGACGCACCTTCTGTCCCACGCCGAACTCGCCAGGACTGCAGGGATGTTAATCGCCACTGTTCATGGGTTTGGCAGGTGTTTAGTGAGCTGTCCTGCCCTGCTCCCGGTGGGGTTGGGGGCTAGGCATAAGCACGGCCTAGAGGGTGAGTGCTCGTGTGCAGAGGAAGGGAGCTTCTGGGACGACAAGGACCCAGCGTGGTGGCTGAGGGCAGCGCTCTTGGAGTTCCACCGTTTTCTAGCTGGGTGACATCAGGCAAGGTAGTTTCACCTCTCTGGGCCTCAGAGTCCAGATCGGTGAAAGGGGAATGTCACCTGAGCCCACCTCCCAAAGCCGGGGTAAGGACTAAGCAAGGAGCGCATCTAGCGTGTGTGAGCGGTGCCTGCGCACTTCAGTGCTTTCAGCGTGGCTCGTACTAGTGATCTGGGGCGGCAGGGAAGGAGTCCGAGGGGGCGTCTGTGCCCTGAGGGGTCAGTCAGAGCTAACAAGGCAAGGGCACGCCCAGGGCGACTGCAGAGGGGCAGTCACAGAAGGGGGAGGGGAGCGGAGACCCTCTCTGCAGTGCGGGGTGCACAGGTGTATACGCCCTGTGTGCAGGTGGCCTTGTTAAGCGCTGTGAGGTTTGTGGTTCCCACTTCATGCACGGGAAACTGAGGCTCGGAGAGGTAGAAGACAGAGGATCGGTGCAGCCACCTCAGGTGTCGAGAGCACCCGTCCCTCCCACGGAGGCTCTCCCAGGCTGAGCAAGGTGAGGTTCACGTGGATGACCCAGTGACCTCTGGCAAACGCTCCCTGTAGGGGAAGGTCACACAGTCCCCTGTTCTGCTGAGGAGTGACACATGCCATGAGGGCCTGTCCAGCCTCCTCTAGCCCAGCCTCCCCGGAGGCCCAGGAGGGAAGCGGAACCACCAACAGGGGTGGGGGGCGCTGTGTGGCCCAGGGAACACTGGGGAGCTGGGAGCACAGATGTTCTGTGCCTGTCTGTGAAGGCAGCCTGTGTGGGGGTTAAAACGTGGATTCTGGGGTTCAAACCCCAGCTCTGCTGCTGACCAGCTGTGTGGCTTTGGGCTAGTTACTGAAGTTTTCTGTGCCTCAGTTTCCTCATTTGTATAAGAGGCACTAAAGATGGCCAGGGTGGTTGTGAGGCTAAATGAGGTAACACAGGCACGGAAGGGGGGTGCCAGCAGGACCTCAGGGGCACCTGAGGACAGTCCTGGTGGACGGTCCTGCTGGTGGACGGTCCTGGCCAGCCAGGCTGAGCCGGGATGGATATCCTCTGGTGACACTGAGTCCAAAAGGAGGCTGCCCACACTCTGGCTGCAGGGCTCGGCTCTGCTTTCTAGACTTCCAGACAGGAAGAGGAAGGGCAAGTCCCCACCTCTGGACATGACCGGGAGCAGAGAGCAGGTTCTCACCCAGCGAGGGATAGCTGCGTCCCATGCAATCAGCTGCGTCGCAAGGCCACCGAGAGCCAGGCCCTTTCCACGTGGCATCTCGCGGAGCCCTCTCCGGAACACTGCCAGGCTGGCGTGTTCTGTTGGAGGGAACCAGGGCACAGACAGCTCAAGTGACTTGGCCACCACCAGGACTGCTAGCTCACGGAGCTGGGAGCCGAGCCCAGGCCTGTGCGACCATAAATCCAGTGCAAAAATCCATCCTCCTGCGCCACACGGAGCAAAAGCAAGTCCAGTTTTGTTTTTGTTTTTTTTCCTGCGCCTTCTGCTAAGATCCCTGAGTAACACACAGGGACCCACATTCCACAGCAGCCTTGGTGGCCAACCTTTGTCAATGGGAAAGAACCTGAACTCTGTAAGATAATCTCAGGAGCTTTACCTAAGTGAACTGTGACTGCAGGTGAGGTCTCACCTTTGTCTTACATGGCCTTAGGCTTCTTGATGATTTTATATCTTACTGTTACAAAGATTAACTCCAAAAGGGACAGGGCATAACTAGGGCTGTCTTTCCTCCCTTGGCTTCACGGCCGGCAGCTCAGCATTAAGGATGTTTTCCGGGGAGGGGAGTCCCCTTGGCCCAGAAGGGGTCCATTCGGTGGGCTGGGGGACTTAAGATTTTATTTTAGTTCACATCTTTACAACAATTGTGTTCTCCTCCAGTCCTGGGCTCGGAAGTCTAGAATCAAAGTGTCAGCAAGGCTGTTTCCTTCTGGAGGCTTCGAGGGAGCACCTGTTCCCCTGCCTTTTGCAGTTTCCAGGGGCCGCCTGCACGCGGGCTCTGGGCCCCTCCTGCCACCCTGGAGCCGGCAGCTTCCTGCTTCAGTTGTCACATCTCCTGCTACTGACCCTTGTCCTCCTGCCTCCCTGGTATAAGGACACTTGTGATTACGTGGGGCCACCCGACTAACGCAGGACAATCTCCCCATCTCGTGTCCTTCACTCAGTCACCTCTACAAAATCCCTTTGCCATGAAAGGCAACATAGCCACAGAGATTAGAATGTGGACCTTTCTGGGGGTTGAGGATCGGGGGTTGCAGAGTATTCAGCCTAACACACCCTCTTTGGAGTCAACCAGTGTTAGCAGTTTCTTGCCAGTCAGTCCAGACATGTTGCATCTATACGTAAGTAAATGCAAGTGTGCAGCCCTGTGCCCCCCATTTCTTATACAAATGACATCATTCCATATCAGTGCTTGAAGAATTCCCTGCTTCCTTTCTCTTTTCTTTTTAGAAGGCTACATAGAATCTGTGGTACGGAAATAACGTAATTCCTTTTACCTTTTCACTTTTAGGCTCTTTGCAATCCTTTGCTATTATAATGCTGCAATAAATAAACATATTTGTAGCATTATATTTAATTTAGTTACCATTTCAGACATACTGAAATCTCACATAACTTTTGAGGGTAATTGTTGCCTTAGAGAGACCTGTATTGTCCGACCGGGTGTTGCCTACGCTCCTTGCTTCCTCCAACCCAGGTTCCTTTTTTTTTTTTTTTAAATTTTTGTTGTTGTTGTTGTTGCTTTTTTTATTTTTTTATTTATTTTTATCCCAGTTTCCTTAACGCCTTCTGTGCACATGATGGATCACGTGGTCATCCACTCTGCTTTCAGGTCTTTTTTTTTTTTTTTGAGACAGAGTCTCCCTCTGTTCCGGGGCTAGGCGTGAGTGCCGTGGCGTCAGCCTGCTCACCGCAACTCAAACTCCTGGGTCAAGCAATCCTGCCTCAGCCTCCTAAATAGCTGGACACAGGGTGGCCAAGTGCCCCCCCCATGCTCAGCTAATTTTTCTATATATTTTTAGTTGGTCATTAATTTCTTTCTATTTTTAGTAGAGACAGGGTTTCGCTCTTGCTCAGGCTTGTTTCGAACTCCTGACCTTGAGTGATCCTCCCGCCTGGGCCTCCAGGAGTGCTAGGATTACAGGCGTGAGCCACCGCGCCCGGCTTACTTTCAGGTCTTTACACCTTAGTGGGAATGTGCTTAAGCAGGGGGTGCAGGTGTGTCCCAGGGCCATGCGTGTTTTCAGCGCTGTCTCTCAGGACAGTACGAAAGGCCCAGAAGAGAATTTCAGGCTTCCACAAGCAGGCGAGGGGAAAGGTTGCACAAACATTTCCAGGGAAGGGAGGCTTCCCAATACTATGCCGTGCTGGTCCACACCCGCGAGTCAGGCCGACTCGCTTCTCCCCAGCCACTGGCACGGACGGGGACGACAGAGAGAACTCGGAGACACAGAGAGGCTGTGACTGGCTCAAAGCCACTAAACGATTTAATGGCAGAGCTCAGACCTGCCCTGAGGTGTAACAAAAGACGCCTCTCTCAAGTCCATGGGTAGCAGAGTCTGTCTGGATGAGACGGGCATTTCTGTGGCTCTCCTGGTGTCTGTCATGGCACACTGGGCTTGCATGGGTTCTGCAGGCTCTGCGTGGCCACACAACTCAAGGACACAGGCCAGAAAGCAGAGGCCGTGCCCTGAGTTAGGCTGGTGGGTGGTTCTTGTCTGGGCTGCACCGTGTTTGTTTCAACAAGTTATCGAGTTATCGTAGGAAATTCACACATGCGGAGAGAATACTATCAGATGTCACACAGCCACCACCCAGCTTCAGCAGTGATCAACTCTGGGCCTGTCTTGCTTCATGCATGCCCTCAACTATTTCCTTTTCCACCCTCAGATACTTTGAAGCAGATCCTGATGTATCATCCCATTGCAAATATTTCCTTATGCAGCTCTATAATGTAGAAATTTAATGGAGAAATTTTGAATGATTTTTTTCCCCAGAAATTACAACGTTTTATAGAAAAAAAAATCAATCGGAATTTCTGTTTCTTCCTAAAGGTTTGGAAGCTCTGCCAACGCTGGGCCTGGGTGGCAATCATTGGTTATAGGGCTGAGGGGATGCTGCCCCTTTAGGTGTGGGGGAGGGGGTGATATCTACTTTGCCACAGTCCCCACCACTCCCTATTGTCCTACCTCCCATCTCATTCAGGCACATCACTGCCTCACCCCTGTAAGCATTTAATTTTGTACAAATTGACCTAAAGGAGATGTTAGAGCACACAATAACAACTTGAGAAATGCGGAAATCAGCTAGGAGATGGAACTGTGCTTTGAGGCATTTTGCAGAACCACATTGGACAAAAGATATTTCAGAAGTAGCTTTGACAGTGCAGAAGTACTAATTTGGGCCTTTTGCTCGGAGAGACCAAGGGCAACTGCTGCATGCCAGTGTCTTCCACCATAGACATTTTCTCAGTAAATCATCAGACAATGCCACGCAGTAGGGGGGGATTATTCCTATTTTGCAGATGAGGAAATAGAGGCAAAGGGAGGTCAAACAAGGTTCACGAGGACTCGGGTAATGAGCAGCGGAGCTAGGGAGCAAACCTGGAGGCGGCCCAGACTCTGAAACAAAGCGGGTCCTCTCGGTGACCCATCGCTCCTGTAACGGGACAGGGAACAGAGGTTGCCGGCGGGGCCAGGGAAGGGTGGAGACTCTCAGCCAGGGCTTCGGAGGCTGCCGAGGGCCTGAGGGGAGGAAAGGGGAGCCCAGGGGCAGGAGCAGATGAGGGGCTGCCCTGGGGCATTGGGAAGAGGCTCTCCTGGAAGTGGCCAGGAAGGCAAAGGAAACGGGGGCCATTGTCATATGGCGATGGTGGCAGGGGGACGCCTTCTTCCTGGCCCTCTCTGGTGAGGAAAGGTTGAGATTTGTCATTTTGTCCCTTGGCTTCCGAATGCCCAGCCTGGGTTCTGGGGCCTTTGCTGGGAGCGTGGCTTGGGGTGCAGTTCCCCCCCCCCATACCCCAGTTCCTTACTCTCTCAGGCCAAGGCCACATCACTTCCCGGCCTGAGGCCTTCCTCCTGGTGCGTTCCCCAGCGCAGCTTTCACTTCCTCTCCACTCTCAAGTGATGTCGGCTCCCTGTCTCGTCCTCTCAGCCCCAGGCCGTCCCCTTATCACAAGCTGAGAATGTCTGAGTCTCTGATTGGATCGGTGTCTGCCTCCAAACAGGACCCTGAGGCCGGTGAGGCTGGGACTCCATCTGTCCTGGTCACAGCCACACCCCAGCCCCTAGCACAGTGCTGTTGCTATGGAAACCGCAAGGGGCTCTCGGGTCTAGTTCCGGTTGCTCCTGTACAGAGAGAAGGAACGTTGCCAAGGGACACTTTGGTCAGGAGATCGGGAAAAGCCACCTCAAACCCTGTCCCCGACCAAAGGCACGTGTGGCCTTTTAAACAGGGGAGATGAACAAGAGGCTACGTGCATTTTTGCAAGCGGTCTTGAAACTAACAAGGGGCTACATGCACAGGGGCCGGCCAGAGGGAAGTGGTCAGTTTGGGCATCAGGAAGTCTGGCCAAGAGGAGCCTTCAGAATCTCACCCCCGTGTCTTGCAGAAACTCCGCCATTTCTGGGAAACAACTCAGAAAGGTCAAGCAGTTGTTGAAGAAGAGGATTGTGAGAAAACACAGAGGGGTCACTGAAACTTGTTCATAGAGCTGGTTACCTTGTCCCGCCCAGGCAGCCACTGGCTATTGCCACAGGGGAACAAACAGGAGGAGGGCGGCCACGGACTGATGGCCTCACACCTTCTCCCTGCAGGTCGTCCCCTTTTCCGGGACAATCCAGGGGGGCCTCCAGGATGGACTTCAGATCACCGTCAATGGCTCCGTTCTGAACTCCTGGGAAAACAGGTGTGTACGTGGGAGGCTCTGCTGTCTCCCGCCAGCCTCCTCCCTGAGCAAACCCGCGCCTGTCAGCTCAGGTCGGATCAACCAACAACCTACAAGCTGGCCACCTGGCTCAGGGGAGCCTGAATGCGTCCCTGTCCCCGGCACAGGGCACAGTCCACACCTGCCTCCAGGGCCACTGTTAACATAGACTCCAGGGCTCAAGGGGCCCCCTGTCTCCAGAGAGCTCACTGTCTAAGGAGGGAAGCGGGAGAGGCCAGAGGTAGATAATTATGTTACAGAGTGGAATTTTGTACACCATGACTCAGAATTGCAAAATGAGAACTTCTTTTATTTCCTATAAAGTGCATCCGTCTACTTGGAATTCCTCATTCTCCTATAGTGGAAATATTTAAAGTTGCCATCCAAAGTAATTTGGTCTGTTACACTTTCAAGGCCTTTTCTGGAAAATACTAGGTCAGTTCAAAATACCAGCGTGTTATGAGGGCTGTTTCCCACGCCCCGCCTCCTTCCAGGGTGGGCTTTCTGGGAACAGGGAGGGGCTCATCTGTCTTCTCCAGGGCTGGAGGCACCTCTGACCCTCACGCAGGCCTGGCTGACGTCTGCCGAGGTATCCAGGTGGCACAGAGGCGTGCAGCTCTCACCTGGTTAGGGCAGGGACTCCATGGTGGCCGTGGACCCCCCTCTGGACACTCAGCTCTCTCCCGGAATCCTCTCTGTCTCAGTCCCAGGGGTCATTTCCTGGAGATCTTCTACGTCCCCTTCACGCTGTAGCAGACCCCAGCTCACCCTCAGCTCGGCCACGTAGATCCCACGTGACTTCTCCACCATTGCCATCCCACCAGGGTGGCATGGCCACGTGGGCCATGGGACTTATCTGAGAACCCTGCAGTGGGGTACCCGATCCCCCCAAACCCTCCCAGCAGGAGAGTCCAGGACCTTTGACCTTTCATCCCGCTCTCTCTCCCTCTCTCTCTCTGCCTCCCCAGCGCCAGGAGGGCTTCTCACCCCCGTCCTGTGTGGCAGAGACGGCCCCTAACTTAGACCGCTCCCCTCCCCTTGGGAGCGTTTGCTCTCTCCCTTCCCTGGGGCAGGAATTTTCCAGGGACTACAGGAGTGAAGCCGGGGGACCACAAAGGGAAATACATTCAGGGAAGTTTCAAACACAATTTCTCCATTTAAAGAAAGAGCCGTGTAAGAGTCGTGAGTTTGCTAGGTGCTCACAGCAAGGGTGGAAGATTTCGCACGCGTCTTAGGATACATCAAAGTAAAGAGTTTATTTCACTTTCTCAGAAGGAGAGACATAAAGATGGAGAGAGAGAGACAGAGGGAGAGAGAGAGAGGGAGAGAGAGACAGGACACGCACTTACCTGCATGGGAGACTTCCTCGACATTTATTTATTTATTTATTATTACTTCCTCATTTATTCACCCCCAAAGGCTGGCACCCTTTCCTGGGTGTGGCAACTCAAAGGAGGTGAGGCTCAGGGGTCATCCCTGAGTGGGGTCACCCCCAGAGTGACTCAGGGGGTCACCCCCAGAGTGACTCGGGGGCCACCACTCCCACACCTCTGCTCCCCCAAACACACGCCAACACCTGAGAGGGAGAGACTGACACGGTGCAAGTCTTCATGCCTGGAGAGCTCACATGTATTCTACGCCTCCCATATAGACACTGTCTTTCTAGGTCAATTCCCATCCACTTCACATGTCCTTTGAATCTGTTCTCTTCTTTCCCAGTGACTCAGGCATGTGCTGGCCTCCAACGAGTGTCCGCTGGCGCCGAAGTCTCTCTCTTCCAGGCTCGCTTAACAACTTCCATCCTCCGTACCAATTTGGAACTGGTTTCCCAGACCTTGCATCTTGTTGCTAGTGCCGGCGCTATTCTTGACCCATTTTCTGCTTCTTTTTAGAATAATCAAGCTGTAAAGGCAAAATGCAATAATTGCACAAAAACACTTTGGGTCCAGATTAGCTGAACAAAGTAGTGTCACCACGCAGGTGATACACCAGTTCCCAGAGAAACTCGCGTCTGAGGTGCCTGTCATTGGCAATGAGCCATGCGACAGAAGGCTGTTTGCTCTCCTTGGGTCTAGGTTTGCTGTGAACTTGAAGACTGGCTTCAGTGACAACGACATTGCCTTCCACTTCAACCCTCGCTTTGAAAACGGAGGGTATGTGGTCTGCAACACGAAGCAGCAAGGATGCTGGGGGCCTGAGGAGAGGGTGGGGCACATGCCCTTCCAGAAGGGGAGCCCCTTTGAGCTCTGCTTCCTGGTGCAGAGCTCGGATTTCAAGGTGAGCAGGAATCCCCGCCCCACCTCCAGCTTCCTGTCCCCACGGCTCCATGGGACTTGGTGAAAAGCCTTCAAATTATCGCCTTCATGGAGCGGCAGCCACAGTACCACCAGTGTGCAGATAGCGTGACCGTTTCCTTGTCAGCTGTCACCGATGGCATGGTCTTTGCACGCCCTTTCACTTGGATCTACATATGGGTGCACATGTTAATTCTGTTCCTCCAAAAATAAGGACTAGATAAGTGACCATGTTGCTTTTTGGTATCATGTGTCTTGCAAGTCCGAGTTCATTCCCATCCTCTGCTCTAGCCATTCTTCCACTCCAGGTCCATGGTAACATGTGTTTTCAGCACGTGTTTCCAGCCTTTATCCGGGTTCTATTAACGCTATAGCTTTGTGAGCCCATGCGCATTGCCGTGGCAAGCAGAGTGGTGTCTCTATGTTCACATGTGTGCTTGTCCGGGACATGGATGTTCCCATCCACTCAGTGTGCAGCCGGAGGTCGCCTCTCCTCTGGTCCTTGTGCGCATTTTTATGCACATATAAATACTACCCCAGGTGAGCTATGCTTAGAAAGACAAACCCACTGCAAGACACAAACGTAAGAACTAAAAGCCAAGAACTGGAGCCAAGCAGAGATTCAGGCTGATGCACTTTGGATCCCAGGCATGTTCCGGTATCTGGCACAGCGCTGACGGCCGATGGCCCTGGGTCAGGGTGGGTGTGAGGACCAGACTCAGATCTTCATTTCCAGAAGCAGGGGTCTGGGAGCTCAGGATCGCTCCCCTGCCCTGCCTGGGACTCCTCCCTGGAACATGCACTCTCCTTTGGCAGGTGACGGTGAACGGCAGCTTCTTTGTGCAGTATTCACACCGCGTGCCCTTCCACCGCGTGGACAGCATCTCTGTCGATGGCTCTGTGCGGCTGTCCTACATCAGCTTCCAGGTCAGATCGTCCACCTGGCACCTGGCCCAGGGACTGGGGTGCAGGGCCCAGCCTGGCTGTGCCTAGGCAATGTTGGGTGGGCCCAGGGTTACCAGCCAATCTGCTATGCAGGTGACTTTGGGGACCCACCTCTGGTTCCCCGTCCCAGTGTCTGCCTGCCCCTTACCTCCCATCCCTCTGCATTCCTTCTGAGTCCGTCTCTCTGAGCAGAACACCTGCCTCGGTCTCCCAGACTCCTCGGCCACTCCTTCCTCTGTCCCTCTCGATTCCCACCCTGGTCAGGCGGCCATATAGTCCCAGAAAGGGCCCAGGCTCAGGATCCAAACTGGATACAGTTCCAGTTCCCAGCGCTGCCGCTCTCACCGTCTGTGGGTTCTTCCATGAGTGACTTCTTCTCCCAGCCTCGGTTTCCTCATCTGTCTAAAGAGCATCATCATGGCCACCCCACGGGTGGTTGTGTGGCTCAATGAGATGACAGACGTCAGAGGTCACATAGCAGCACCTCTGGGTACCCCCCCCCAGGGTTTGTTTGTCCCTGTCTGTGTTTTAAAATTCTGGTGTGCTGCCCACATCTAAAAGGTCAGGAGATATCAGGGGAAAACTAGGAAGTTTAGGGTGAGCTGGGCCCACATTCCCGCAGGGCACCAGGCTGTACCACGTATTGGCACTTGAGTGAGCTCCTTGAGATGAGCGAAGCACACAGTAGGTCCTCAACAAATGAGCTTCTCTACCCGGGGTCCTCATCCCTCCCACTCCTCCCCTTCCTGACTCTCTCCTGGGGGTTGGAGACGTGGGGAGAGGAGGGACACTGGGCCCCTGCTGGTCCCCATGGCTGGCCCCTTCCCCCGCAAGCCCCTCACCCCTGCCCAGCAGTTCTCTCCCTCTCCCCCCACCCCTGCCTCACGGCTCTGCCCCAGCTCCTCCAATGCTTCTCCCCACCCACTGCCGCCTTTTGTTTTAACAGAACACCCGCGCAGCCCCGGCCCAGCCTGCCTGCGTGCAGCGGGTCTTCCAGCCCGTCATCTTCACCTCCAGGCCCAGGGGGCGCAAACCAAATGTGAGTTTAACACGGAGGCCCTGGGTGGCTGAGCATGCAGCAGGAAGGACAGGGGGTCCCGAGGCCCCATCTTGCTCACCCAAGAGTTCCCTGTCCCCATCCACCAGGTGCCCAGACCCGGGGACTTGGGAGTCGTTCTGGATCCTTCCCTCCCTCTTCCTATATCTCTCTCCTGCACCTGCAAGTCTCTCCCACCCCAAAGCCAGGGCCTTGGTCCAGGCCACCGAGAGTCCTCACCATGACGACAGCTGTCTCGTTCTCCTAACACCCACCCCCGCCACAGTGACCTTCCTATAAGCAAATGTGATCATGTCCTCTCCTTGCTTAAAAATCGTGAAAGCCCCAAGCCCTTCTAAACACACCTGAAATTCCCTGGCAGGACATCCAGCCCCAGTCTGCCTCCCGGCCTCACCCCACCCACCCCCACGAAGCTCACGCAGCCTCCGCTGCTCCCTCGAGACCCCTCGGCCCACCCCGCTCTGCACGTGCTGCCCTTGGTGCCGAAAGCTCCCTTGGCCAGTGTCGCCTAGCAAAGCCCTCACTGCCCTTCAATGCTCTGCTTACATGTTGCTCCCTGGGGAGACTGTGGGATGCTCCCCTCTGTGTTCCCATGGGCCTTGCACAGTCTGTGCTGTGCCAGTCTCCACGTCCCACTGTAACCGCGTTTGTGTGTCTGTCCCCTCACTCTACCCCCATCGTCCCCATGCCCTTGAGCCCCGGGAGGGCCGGGATTGTGGCTTGTCCATGTGCACAGTGCCTGGCGCTCGGTAGGGACTCAGTGAAGGAATGTGAGATGTGCTTTGCCCAGCCAGGTGGACGGGACACAGCCAGGCAGGAACAGTCCACCGGGTGGGGGCAGCGTCCAGGACAAGAAGGCGCGCAGCTCTTCCCTTGGCCACTCAACAGTGTGGGCTGCGGGCGCTCTATCCTCGCATCCTTCCTGTGGCCCATCAAGGGACTCACGGGGCACCTGCCTCCTGCCGCGCTGACTTCAGGGCAGGTCACATTCCGGGGAACCTTGGCAGGGCAGCCCAACTTTGGCCCTGGGCAGGAGAGAGGGGTGATGGGTACAACCAGACAGAACTGGGTACCCTTTTGGATTCTATCCCTTCTACCCGGGGAGCTCGGGCAAGTCACTTAACCTTTCTGAGCCGGGTGCCTCCCCAGGGAAACAGGAGCTAAGGATGCTTCCCCCGCTGGAAAGCACTGGTGCCCGGAGCCGGCCCACAGCGAGCCTTCAGCAAAGGCTGGTTTTCATTTGGTGGCTGAGACGCGGCTCTGGGAGCTGCGGGAAGCAGTGTGGTCTCCATTAGACCCGACCCCCTCTGGCTCAGGAGGAGCCAGTGGGGATTTTCCACCCCCGACCCCGAGTCCCTGGGTCCCTGGGCCCCCGGGGGGTAACAATTTGGGTGCCACAGGCTCAGGAAGGCATGTTGGGAGACGGAGGGGGTGAGCGTGTGTGGGAGGCATTTCTCAGCACAAGACCCTCCCTGGAGCTCTGCCACCGTCTCCCTCCTGAGGCGCCAATGGTAACCACCATTCTGATTCTTCTCGCCCCTTCCAGCCGCAGGGCATGCGTCCTGCCTCCCCGCCCCCCTTTGCAAGTCTCCTGCTCTCTTTGTGCACCCTCTTCATCTTGGTTCTTCCTGGGCGTCAGAAGGAGGAGGCACCCGCCTGGCCCCGGCGGTGTTGCAGGGAGGAAGATGGCGGGTGGGGTTGGTGGCCTAACGAAAGGGAAACGACCTGAATCGCCACTCCCTGGGCCCCACGTTCCACGTCCTTGCTGCAAAGTGAGGCAACGCCAGAGGCCACAAGTGCAGCCATCTTTCTTCACCATCCAACCCCTGCCCCTCCCTGGGTGCGCTGAGAGAAGAAACACCCCCACCTGCCCTTAGTGGGGGGCTGGTCAGGGCCTTTGGGTGGTTGCGGCTCAAGGTTAACTCACTGCAGAGGGTGCGCGAGACGTGGCGCCCTCTGGTGGCAGGTGGTGGTCTTGGCGCTGAGCGCTGGGGAGGACCTGCTTTCCTTCTTCCAGACTGAAACAAACCCCTGATTTCCCTGGAGTCCTAGAGGTGGGAAGAAAGAATGGTGGCAAGGATGATGGGGACATTTGGGGCTGGGCCCCCAGCTTAGGAGACATGTGTCTAAAATTCTCCTTGGGACAGTGGCAATTGTGGAGCAGGCTGAAATTATCCAGTGGTCCAAGAGGCAGGTCCCCTAGAGACCAGCAGGGAAACTGGTCCTTCTGTTACGGAGAGGGGACTGCAGTGGCCCCAGAGCCTGGATATGAGGTTCCTGCATCTGGGGGCCAGCCCCCAGGTCGCCACTACAGCTCATGGCTTGAGCTCTTCTCCCTGTGATGGCCACAAATGGGACCTGGGTGGGATCCAGGAACACAGCAGGAAGGTCCAGGAAGGCAGAGGTGAGAAGGAAGGTGACCAGGAGAATCCAAGGGCCGAAGCGTCATGACCTGCACACATTGGAGCATCCCCTCCAGACTGTGTGGGTGCCCGTGTGCACGTGTGTGTGTGTGTGTGTGCACACGTGTGCTGCCGCATTGAACATCCTCCTCTCTTTTCGACAGAATCCTATCAAACCACCTATGGCGTACCACAGCCCGACCTATGTGAGTGGCTCCTGGGGGAGGGGTGGAGGTTTGTTGGTGCCGGGCAGGTGGGGGTGACGGGCAGGTTGGGGGGGGGGTCCCCTGGCCCTGCCACAGTACGAGCAGGACTCTGGGGAGCTGAAGTCCTAAACACATTCAAGTCAATTGGAAGAGTGTTGAAAGGAGCTTTCACCCTTGAAACTGTCACTGTGCGCACAGTTCTATGGCCTGCCCCTGTCAGCCCACTTGGCCAAAGTTCCTTTCAGGACGGTTTAAGCCCATTAACCTGAGTATCACTGGAAGGTCTTCCTTTGGCATTTACTGAACCAAGTAAAGATATGGTGAGGTTCTTTCACGGGTGACCGTCCAAATGCACGGAGACTGGTACAAAGTCCCCTTCTGCAGTGGCAGCTGCTCCTGCTGCCACAGGCTGACCCGGCCCCTCCCCCCAACAGCCGATGCCTTACTTCACCTCCATCCCAGGCGGGCTGTACCCGTCCAAGTGCATCATCCTGGCGGGCACCGTCCTGCCCGGTGCGCAGAGGTAAGCCACGCGCTTGGGGGCTCTCTGGGAGGGGAGAGACCTTCAAGGTCATTCTGGCCACCCCCCTGGCTCTGGGCAGGCTAGGGACGAGGGGGAGGGGCTGGGGATCAGAGTCCAGTGGGCAGAGAAGGTCCATGGGAGCTGCCCACCCCAGGTTCCACATCAACCTGCGCTCGGGGAGTGACATCGCCTTCCACCTGAACCCTCGTTTCGATGAGAACACCGTGGTCCGGAACAGCCAGATCTATAGCTCTTGGGGGCCTGAGGAGCGAAGCCTGCCCCGAAAAATGCCCTTCACCCGAGGCCAGGGCTTCTTGGTAAGGTGCCACAGCCTGGAGCTCAGAGGGGCTCTCAGGGGTGCACGAGGAGCGGGTAGAGGAGGTCTGGGGGTGCCTCAAGCAGGATGGGACATGATCCCACTGGGTGAGGGCCTGGGAGAAGAGAACGTGGTCGCCAAGTCGTTATCACTATCACTGTCCTGCATGAAGGAGGTGTGGAACCTGCTTTGACCTAGGAGGAAAGAAACTCACTAGCGCAGGTTACTGCCTGTGGTCACGCAGCCAGTTAAGTGCCACATCAGACCCCAGAATGGAGTGTCATCCATTTCTTCACTTATTCATTCAACAACCATTTAGCAAGCATTTCACTGGGGTGCATGTTGTGCAGGAAGCACCCCACATGCTGGGGGTGCGGTCACAGAGCAGACAGGTCCTGTCCCCAGGGCGTTCCCAGGTCAGCTGGGGAAGGAGTAGGAAACAGAAACTTGAACAGAGCATTGCAGATAAGGACAGGGGCCAGGCAGAAAGCAAACAGAACAAGGGCGTCATTGTGCACAGGTGTGGCCTGTGCAGGGACAGCGAGGCCAGGGCCTACAGGGTGAAGAGTGAGGCCCAGAGAGGTGTGGGGCACAGCTGCAGACCCAGTCCACACAGAGCCGGCATTCTCCACCCAGACAGCTGATAAAAGGGAAACCAGAGCCCCGTTCCTGGCCAATGAGGCCGTGAGCCTGGGTGTCCGTATTTTTAAGTTGTACATTAAGTGATTATACTCTGCAATCCGGGTTGAAAATAACTGGAGTGGGGCTTCATAGGCCATGAAAAGGAGCTTGATTTTAATACAATGCAAAGCCACTGGAGTGTTTCAAGCTGGGGAACAGTATACTCTGATATATAGATAGCTGTGTGACTCTCGCAAGTGACTTAACCACTCTGTGCTTCGGTTTCCTCATCTACGCAATGGAGCTAATAATAATATGGATCTCACAGAGTTGTAAGAGTGGAATGAGATAGTATCTGTAGCATGCCTAGGGCAGCGCCCAGCGCACAGTGTGCTGTAAGTGTCAGCTATTGCCATGGGCGTCATGTCTCCCCATGTGTCCCGGGCTGCCTCGTGGGAAGGCACCAGGGTGGGAAAGACAGGTTAGGCGGCGGCTGCAGGAGTCCTGGCGGGGAGCCCTCCCGCGCGCTGGGTACTGGGCACACACATGGCACCCGCCAGCAGGTCTGGCAGCTCAGGGGCCAGTTGCAGAGTGGGGCTGGAGGTGGGAGCGTGGCCTGCAGGGGCAGGTGACTTGACTAGGAGGGGTCAGGAGGTCGGGAAGGTGGGCGGGTGGGATGCAAGGAGGGGAACAGCATTCCAGGCAGGGGAACAGCGTATGCCAATGTTCAGGGGAAGCAGCACTCAGGGCGTGTCTGCTGCAGAGCACGTCACTCCCCGGGGCTGGAAGGCAGGTGTGGGGCTTCTTAATGCTTGAGGAAGGGGGGGCAGGACACGAGGCTGCATCTTGGGCTGAGGATTTTCTAGTGTAGTGCAAATGACGTGGCCTCTCTGCCCAGGTGTGTATCATGTGCGAAAGCTACTGCCTCAAGGTGGCCGTGGATGGCCAGCACCTGTTTGAGTACTGCCACCGCCTGAATAACCTGCCGGCCATCAACAGCCTGGAAGTGGGGGGCGACGTGCAGCTGACACACGTGCAGACATAGGGGGCTCCCTGGGCCTGGGGACAAGGGCCGGGGTGACGAGTTGCTGCCTGAGTCTGCCCAGCACGTCCCCTTCCCAGCCCCAGCGCCCCCCTCCACTGTGCCCAGGCCCTGGGCTGCCCTGCAGAGGCGTGTCCTGTCTGCCCGGCTCCTGGCTGCAGCCAGCCTGGAGGGGAGAAGGCAGCTGGCTGGGATCGCCTCGCTTAGCCGGCTGTCCTGCTCCTGCCATCCAAGGCCAGGGGAATAGGGGGACGTGGGGTGCAGCCCCATGATCAGTCCCCTGGGCAGAGTCAGGGTCCTGAGGCTTCCCAAGCCCCAAGCCCAGGCCTACACCCCATCTTGCTCCCAACCACCTGCCTGTCCCCCATGCAACTCCGCCCTAGTCCCAGGCCACCAGCTGTCCACTCCTGGTAGGAAGTGACCTCCTTTGCCCTTTCCCTTCCTGTGGCCTTTGTCCTCACTCTCCTACCTTGTACCAGCCCTTCACGCCCTCCAGGAAAGCTACCCTGATGACGTCCCGCTGGCCCCCACCAACCGGCCAGCACTTCTCATCGGGGGCTGTCTTCTGCCTCTGCATCCTTCAAATAAAGAAATAAAAATGCTTGTTGTTACACACAAGTGGGATGGCTCTGGCTTATTAAATACATTTGGACACATCTGGGATTCTCTGGGACGGGGGCGGGGCACAGGGGGGGGGCTGCCGAGCGCCGTGGGAGGAGTGGCTCCCTTTCCACAGGGGGTCCTGACACGCACACCTAGTCCCAGTGGGCCCCCACAAACCCCACAAGGGTGTGGGACAGAGCAGGTGGGGCTTGGCCGGTGGGCAGGAGTGTCTGACTGTAGCAGTGGCCATGTTCCTTTTCCTGGGGGAAAAGGAACAATGTTTTCTGTCTTTTCACAACCTCCTCCACTCTTTTTGGGAATGGAAACCTCCATCCCTGCCCCAGGCCAGTGGTCAGGAAGGGTAGAGGATTGTCGTTTATTCTTTGTACCATAAGAGGTTGTTCAACGGTATTGTCCGGGCAGAGGTCCGGGAGGTCAGGGTGGGTGGATGTCGTGAGATTGTGTTCGCTGGAGATAGGGATGGATCAGAGTCATTGACTATAGTTATGCAATAACCCGAAGCCGAAATCCCTTTAAGAGCTCTGTATTTCTGCTTAAGATTAGGACAATGGCATTTTAAGACGGGAGTCTCCAGCCTCCTGCTTTGCCAGCAAATTAATAAACTCCTCTTTCCTTTGAGGACTAAACTCTGATCTCTTTCTTTTGCTAAAAACTCCTTCCTAAGGAGGACAGCTGGGTCAGGCTGACAAACAGTAAATTCCCACTAAGCTCACCAACCTGATTCTGGTATGGCATTAACATCACCTAAAAGTTAAGAAGCCCCTATCTTAACTCAAGCATCCTAGCAGATGCCTATCATAAATTTAAAATATCTTAAAGCATCCTAGCAGGTGCCTATTGTAAATTTAAAATGTCCTCCTGTCTGGACCTCCCAGAGTGCTCACCCCCTTATCTTAAAATAAGCATCTCCTTTCTGGTCTTCTAGATACAGTATAACTCTCTCAGCCAATTGCCAGCCAAAGAATCTTTAAACTCACTTATAACCTGTAAGCCCCACCCCCCTTGGAGATGTCCCACCTTTTGGGGCCAAACCAATGTATGCCTCTCATGTACTGATTTGTGACTTTGCCTGTAACCCCTGTCTCTGAAAATGTATAAAACGGAACTGTAACCCAGACACAGCGAGCCCACTTGCTCAAGTCCTCTTGGCAGTGGCTCCGGGTCATGGTCCTCAAATTTGGCTCAGAATAAATCTCTTGAAAATTATTTTACAAAAAATTATTTCTTTGGCTTTTTTTCGGTTGACACCTTTTCCTCAACCACTTGTCCTCATTCTTCTGTCACGGCCTCAGGAAAAAGTGCTGAGTTTTCAGTGGCAGATTTAGCGTCCCTGGGTGGGCCCACTGGCTCCCCGGTGGAAGGGCACCCTGGTACTCCTGGAAGAGGCAGGGAGCAGCCCCGGGTCAAGCCGTGGGCAGGAGCACCCCCTTTTGGGGTAAGAAAGCAAGGAATTACCTAGCAGCTGCCAGGGCCTGTTTAGCCTGGGGAAGTCTCGTATCTTTCTCCCGGATGCAGCTCCAACCAACCTGAGCTGAGTTGAGGAGAAGGAGATGGATTTGGGAAGTGTCTGGACAGCCCCGGCCGTTTGAGTAAGCTCCCGAGCATGCGCACTGACAGCCTGATTCCACCCACTTGGAGGATTTCAGACCTTCCCGTTGGATTTGTTTGGAGGTGCCATTGGGCCGCAAGTCACACGGCTGAGTGGAACTAGGGAAGATGGCTTGGACGCAGACCACGCTGTGGTTCCCAGGGAAGCTGGGGTGGGTGGGAGATGTTGGTTCTCACTGAGGTCTCAGTTTTCCTTCGGTGGTTCCCATCTGACAGGTGTTGGCATTTTCTGCGTTGAAAATTCCCGGTAGTTTCTGCGTTTGTCATTTGTGAATTTCGTTTCAACACGGGAGGCTCCGATTGTGTTCCACCCGAAAGTCCTTCAGGAGAAATCTTGGGTGACTGGCCAAATTTATAGCCCCAAGTCTATGTTTGGGAGAGAAAGGTGTTTTTGTAATCCAGCGTGCGTGCTGGAGTGTGAGGAGAAGTAGCTGTCGAATGAAACCTGGAATTGCTATAGTGTCTGTCTCGCAGCTGGAATTACTTTGTCAGAGGTGGGGTAAATGGGACAAGATCCCGTATGTTGAATCTTAAAGGCCTGGGACGAGGTAAACGGCACAAGACACAGCTCTGCCGGTGACGGGACAGTCGCAATACTTCGTTCCAGTTAAACAGCAAGATCCCCTGTCTGCACCAGTTCTGGGCCAGCCGCGCTGCATGAGAACCGCAGCCCAGACGGTGGCCCTGGCGGGGAGGGAGCGCCCGCCACCCGACTGACCCCACGACACGGCGGGGAGATGCCGGCGCCCACCACCGTTGCGGTGACCCACGGGAACTCACGGGCCTGGCCGCACTCAAGCTGGCACTGGCGAGGCCCCTGCCGGAGCCCCACTCAAGAAAGCGACGCCTTCCCCCAGCCATGCGGTTCCCAGCCTGGGGCGATCGCTGCCACCCCATCTTGGCGCCCTGAGAGGGGTGGGGCAGAGGGCACGACTGGAACTAATTCTGCAGTCCCGCGTCCACATGGTTATGACTTTGGGGTGCAACAGTCCCTCTTTCTAAACAATTTGGCCGGAGGGCACCCACATAGCCGGAGCGGGGCAATTTGCGTACAGTGTGATTTTTGTAAAAAAAGAAGGACCTTGGAAAGAGCCTTGCCCCAAAATTGCAAAGGACTCCAGGTAGCAAGAAAGCCCCAGGATGGAGAGCAAAGATTTTATTGCAGTACAGGACTCAGACGAGGAAGGAAGGACTCAATTCCCCTGCCTCACTGGCGGTTCGTTCCAATCCACGTGCTCCCGCCCAGCGGCACAGCCGAGCTGCAGAAGGCCGGGGCCAAGAAGGAAGAGAGCTGGAAGCTGATGGGGGCAGACCAGGCTCAGACAGGTCGCCGGCATGGCTTCCCATTATTGGCTCAGTCTCTGGGCTGACACTGTCAACAGGACCCAGGAGCACACTAAAGCCTGTCTGAGTGTCCACGGAGCCCTGGGCATTCCACGAGAGTGACAATGGAGCTTCCTTTGTAGTGGAGAGGTGACCCAGCCAGTAAGCAAAGCCCTACACTTAGAACGAGGGGGCACACATCCTGGGACTGATGCGGGAAACCCAGCTAGAGTGGGACAGGGTGTTGCCACTTGTCCTACTCTGGATAGAGGCACCCCTAGAAGCAGGCTTAAGTTAAGCCCCTAAGAAATAGTTTATGAGAGACCCTTTCTAGCACCCCGGGGAAGTATGGTCATATACGCATGACTAAGTAAAACAGAGTAAAGCAATGTGTCACACGAGTGGGTCGGATACTAACCACTGTGCACGAGTTGGCCTCTTTCAGGTCCCCATCCCAGCCGGAAGCAGAGAAGTGGAAGGGACCCTTTGGAATGCCTCTAACAGCCCACACTTTGTAGAAATCATCAGGAGTAAAAGCCTCGGCTCCATCGTACCAGAGTAAAGAGGTACGATGGAAGAAGAGGACCCGAGCCCCAAGTGGAGGGGCCAGCCGTTACACAATCTAAAGTATCCATTTAAGGAAAAGGGAAAAATGAAAATGTTGACATTTTCACTAATCTTTCTTTGGTTATTTGTTCCATATAGAGCAGGCGTCCTCAAACTATGGCCCGTGGGCTACATGCGGGTGTTTTTGCCCATTTGTTTTTTTACTTCAAAATAAGATATGTGCAGTGTGCATAGGAATTTGTTCATAGTTATTTTTAAACTGTAGTCCGGCCCTCCAACGGTCTGAGAGACAGTGAACTGGCCACCTGTTTAAAAAGTTTGAGGACCCCTCATATAGAGGGACAACTCCTTAGTGAGGACTTCCCTGGGCTATCACCTCTTCTGTTGATCTGTCTTGCTGCTGGGTTTGTTACCCTAACCCTCGTTGCGTGCAAGTGTTTACATGATTTGTGAATTTGCAGAAGCCGGTCTCTTGGATCACCTACTGTGTCCAATTAATAGCTCCGCACTCAGAGTTCCCACGTTTCTTTCTTACCCAGCCCTGCAGTAGACATTATGTGCAAGGTGACAGGAAGGACCCGCAGTCCTGCTGGTGCCTTAGATACCGAGTGGGGCAAAAGCTCTCTTACCAGGTATGCTTCGTGTCGTCTTGTCACTCCTCACGGTGGTGGTTGTTGCTTATGGCCATGTTTGCCTGGTAATCTGTTGTTGTAAATCTACTGCCAAAGCTTTGTAATGACCTAAGTAAGTATAAACTTTCCATCTAAAGCATTGCCCCAACTCAGCAGGAAGTAGCTCCAAGACTACATTGCTCCTCCTCCCACAGGGTCAAGTTCACAGTGGGGAATATGTAACCCAGGAAACAGCCTGAAACAAGAAAGGTAAAAATGTTTTATGTCTTTTTAAAACCTGCCCCACTCTTCATGGGAATCGAAACCTTCACCCATGCTTCAGGCCAGAGGTTGGGAGGAGCAGTGGAGTGTCCTTTGTTCTTTGTACCGTAGGAGATGGAGCAACGGGATTTTCTGGGTGAGGTGTGGGAGGGCAGAGGTCATGAGATTGTCTTTGCCTGGAGAAGGAACGGATCAGAATCATCACAGCCTAAAGCCGAAAACCCTCCCTTTAAAAGCTCTGTATTTCTGCTTATGTTTGAGACAATGGCACTTTAAGAAAGGAGTCTCTATCCTCTTCGTTTGCCAGCAAACTAAAAGAACTGCTGTCTCCTTTTCCTATCCACTTGTCCTCGTTCTTCTGATGTGACCTTGGGGACCAGTGCCGAGCTCTTGGTAACATGATGTAGGAAACTTGGTATCCGGGTGAGCCCAGGAAAGAGCCCGTTGCTTTTGAGACGGGAGAAGGGTGGGACAGAGCCTGTGCGGCCGTGGCAGGGCCAGGACGCCAGACGCAGGGGCATCAGAACCCTGCGTCCCGGGAGGAGCAGGTGGCAGGTGGGGCCGGGAGCAGCTGACCGGAAGCCAGGTCTGA